TCTTTTGGTTTGAGGGGATCCCAAAACATATATTTCCGTGAAATCTCGAAATCTGTTTTCCGCAGCATAACATAACTTTCCCTATACTACTTATATTACTCCGTAAATATGGGAAAGTAAAAAGTATTAGCAAAATTGTTAGTGTATATGCTATTAGCATAGGGTATCAAATAGTTTAATTTCATAAAAAAAAATACTCATAGATTCTGTACATTTGTAATCACCTGAATTACGGTGTGACCAGAAGAGAAAAACACCAAACATATAATAGGAGGTCTTAAAATAATCCATTTCGTTGATAACAGGGTGAGGAACATAACTGTATGCCTTGTGGCCAACAATAATGATCGCATTTGATTGACAGAATTCTTATAATTCGTTAATAAAAGTCTTTCAAGAAGTGAAAATTGTTGATGAACCAAGCCAAAGCAGACACTGTAAATAATATTTCGCATAGATAGCGAAAAGCGAACAAATGGAGAGATAAATTCTAATCTCCATCTGATAATGTCGGATAATAATGACTAGGAAAGATACAGTCCACGAGAAAACGATCTTTACAAGTAGAAGCAAGTATTAAGTACTGGGCTTCATTATAACTTCCCATCGTCTATTAATGCCCATTTGTGTAGAAGATTTGTCGGTGATTTGTCGGTAAAGTAACGCATGACGCAGAGAGAAATAAAAAAATATATGCCTATAACGAAGTCCATGAAAGAGATAGTGCAAAGGTTAGTTTCTTAAATAGAGTATTAAGTTTATATAGAGTGGTCTTCATTCGTCTTCTATTAAGAAAAAATATTCGATGCACTCATTGCCTACAGGGGTACGTCCAGTGGTGGATCTGGGGAGGGGGGGCAAGGCCCTCCCTAAAAGGCCTAGCGAAAAACGTTTGTTACCTGTTTATTTTCCAAAATGTATCTAAATATTTATGTTAGAATCAGTGGCGGATCCTGCAAGACCATGAGTGCCACGCCCCCCCCCCTGAATCCACCTTAAACCTAGAACGACCTACAAAACAATAAAATGGGAAAAGTGTAAGAAAAATAAAAATAAGAAACACAAGAAAAATGTAGAAACATCTAAAATGTGTGCATAGAATGTGCGCGCTCTTACCTTAACCTTTTAATTACCAATAAGAATTCTGATTCCCGACATTGCATGTGTTTCACTCCAGTGGAACGTACGGAAAATCTATGATGACCTCCCTCCAAAATTATCGGCTGGATCCGCCCCTGGTTAGAATTATGTAATTATTTAAAAAATAATATTTCATAGTATCATGTATACCTATACCTACCAAAATATACAATGCACCAACAAATATGTTTATTATTTCACAAAAATCTACGATGCACCCTCCTCCCAAAAAAAAATTATCAGTTGAATCCGCCCCTGGGTACATCATTTTTACATCTGAACATCAAAATGTAACTAATTTTCACTTTGTCGTGAATTTCTTTAGCAATTTTAACAAGTCTCTCATTCAAAATGCCATACAGTGACTACGTAGAAAAATATGTAGTAAGTTATAAAATTATTTGTGATCAGGGAACACCAATTTTGGAAAAAAATACTCTGAACTGTTTAGGCGCTACCGTTGTCCGCAGACGGACAAACGGACAGATGGACAGACAGAGAGACAGGCGTTTTAATGTCGGTATAAAGGCCTCGCGAAACGTGGATTTTGACCACACAATGTGTCAGAAGAAGTAATTAACTACACAGAAGGACAATTGCATACGCTAAATAAAGTATATGTAACTAATAATTGTTATTGACATGTTTTACTCAATAATAATAATTAAAGTGCATAATTGGGTCTCCTTTTTTATCATAGGCAGTGGTGAACCTGAAGCCAAAGTTCTCGCTCACGTTCTCTGAGACTCCCGTACATAAGGTTCAAACGGGATGGCTTGCGCTGGACTAATGCGAAATCAGTAGTTTTAGATATAATTTATATAGGCGAGGTGTACATTACAAGAAACAATAGATTTCAAGGAGAAAATGTAGAATACTATATCGTAGAATAGTCCAGAAAACCATCGCACACATGTTTACTTTCTCGCATACAACTTACGAAGGATAAAGAAAGTTTTGTATGCTGCAGCGAAAAACAGCTACTTTTAATAGGAAAACACGTTTTATGGTCTCACTTCTGATGACGAAAATGTTAATTCTTGCTCCTAAATAGTACATTTCTTCCTCCTCCTCCTTTTCATTGTGTAGTCAGAATCCACAATTTGCGAGTCCTCGATATTGAAACATTAGTTCACGGCAAAATGACTGACTTCCGTCCGTCCGTATGTGAACAACGTTACCGGCTAAACGGTGGGTAGGATTTTCAGCAAAACATATATTCCCCGATCGAGCTGGCTGATGTCACAGCCCCTTTAGTTTGAAATTGATATTTTGAATTTAGGGGTACTTACATGAAGCATAACTATAATTTTTTTTCAAAAATAACTCCAACTTTTATCATTAATTTTTGGTAGTTTTGGTTCTGATGAATTGAGGAAGGTTTACAAATTCTGCAACAATATATCACTAGAGACGTTCGCCAAAAGACCCTTATACGATTTTATGACTTTTAACAATAAAAATCACTTAAGTGTACTTGTGGAATTGTTTTAATTAAATTATATTTGGTAGTTTTGGTTCTGTAGTTTTGAAATTCATAAAAATTTTAATTTTTGTCGTCTACACAATAAATTTGAACAACATTTACTACTACAGTATTAAAGATACATATTTTTCTGCGAAATGTGTTCTTCAAAATTAGTTCGTGAAACACTAATTATGAAAAACTCTGAATTTCCGAAATTTGGAAATTCAAACGTTCAACTCTCTTTGTAAAGTGTCGGGAAGGCTGTTTTATTTGAAAGGGTAGGTGTAATGTGAATGGCATGCTAAACGAATTCCAGGGTCGGAAAATATTTTTTTACTGATTGGGAACTTGATTAGGAATTCCGTAATTATAATATAAAAATCAGTTTCCAATAATGCCAACAAATACATGCTGTTAATAGTATCACCACTTTTCTTTGTTACAATATATAAATAGAGTTTAAAAAATTAGGTAAATTAGTTGCTTGGAACACATTCTATTACTTTTCCCTTTACCTTCCCCTACTTTATGTTTTTTTTCCCCTTTTGTAATGATTTCTGTGTTTATTTTTCTGTAAACTAAAAGGTTGAGAGGAAAATTTATGCAGTGGCATTTCATTATCATTAACGGATATTATAGGACTTTATAGTTAATTATCTGTTCTTTAACTGTATTCGTTAGGGAAAACTTTTGTTGACATTCCAATTCTAATTGCTGGTTACGTGCGTAAAATATACGTTTACCTGTGCACTGAAGTTCAGCGTTTCCAGAGAGAGTAAAATTAGCCCATGTTACTACACCGTAAAACATGAAAACGCTCAAAAATTAATTCATAGTGTATTTGTCATTCTTTAACCTTTCAATACGATTATTAATAGTCCATAGTTCATTTCAAGGAAACATGCATATGAAGTTTATATAATTTTGCTTCAAGGGGTTTTAATGAATTTTCTGCAACCTTGGCTTCCCATTCGAGTAATTACATGGTCCACGCATATTTAATCAGAAATCGTTCATTCTTAAACATCGTTGCGTCATTGGGGCAAAGAAAAATGATGTAGCGAAGTTTTCAGTGGTGTAGTAAATATTCCTTCCACTCAATATCATTAGGGCGGCTTCATTTCTATCACTTCTTGATCATGATGTTGTGCCCGTTGCAATGCTGACTCATTGAACAATGATACATTGTAAATACATTTTTTTAGATTTTAATGTTGAAAGAAAATGTCCAAAGTGAACGGAAATTAACTTCCCATTGAAAATTGGTGATATATTTTTTCCTTTAATCTACATCAATTTTTAATAGCACGTTTTATGTCTTATAGTAGAAGAAATTTTATGCATTGTCCACCAAAGAACTACGACGGTCCACCAATTCTTGAATCTACGACAGCCTATCATAATAAATTCGTTCTTCCAATTCATCAAAGAATTTTTGTTTAGTTGCTTGGGATTTCCTAATCCCAGTCTTAATGTGTAAGGTCAAGACCCATTGCAGAGCCGACTGTAAAAATATCATTTCACAATACCTACAATTCAAAAGACATATACATACATTCGCTCTCAGAGAAAAATGCATTTGTATGGTGTATATACGTATCAAATTGACATGAATTTGCGGCGACTATAAAACGCCCTATATATATATATTGTTGACGTTACGTTTTATAACATTCTCGTAAAGGAACAATTTTTGTTCAAAATATTGTTGATGGAAACCCCCATTCTGGCCCAACAAACTATTATAATACCTGGAATGCGAGTTGTTTGCTCGTCGTTATCTCTGCGTCTGAGAAGGAACTGTTTTCACTGACTCATGCGTCCTATCCTGCAGAAGGAAGTTCCTACATCTTGTGGTCAACGGGAGTCTTCTTGAGGAATCATTTTCAAAACGTGCCAGACATTTTTTTAAGTTTAAAATAACAAATGGAAAACAATTCTTGATCGAGCTCTTCAGTAATGATAATTCCATACAGCGCGATTTTAAGTAGTTTGAAATTGAAAAAGGAGGAATGCAAGCTACGAAGTATCATAGAATTATTCTTTGCACAGAGAAAAAATCGCTATTTGGCGCATCAAAAGTTTAGATTCAGTTTGCACAATTACTGCTTAACTAGCTACTTTAGATCCCTTATTTAAGCCCACTCGTTTCCGTTCCTGCCCACGCCTATTGTTTCCTGGCAGTTCTTTTGCATGAAAGTGGGAGGCGCACTTGGAAGATTTCCCTAAAAATAGGAGACCGCGCTTTTCCTTGCACCTAATGTACAATATAACAGGTGTTCGATTATTGAGTTCTACGATTTATTTTCTGGTAATTCAAACGATATCACCCCCTATCCTCATTTAAAGAATTATGGTTTTGGAAATAGTAACGAATAAACACAGATGTCTGTGTTCGCAGTATTTATTTCATAACACATGGTCAGAAAACTGAACTTTGGAATATGACCTTCGAGAACGAAATGCAGAAACACATGTTAAATGTGTAAAAAGAAAATTGATCTACAGAATTACGTAAGAAGATCCGGCAGAGCTAAAGTCCATGTTCTCTTTCTTTTTCTAGTTCACGCCAATTATTATCCCATCACTTATCGATACTACACACCTGTTGGTGAGTTCTCGAGATATCGTATGATTTATCCTGCATGGAATGCGCATGTGCCATTCTTTTCATTCGCAAATCACCCTGATTTCGTCAAAGAAGTACAGGAATCGGGGTGTGGGATCGGGGGTGGGGTCAGGTCAGTGTATTCAGAACCTCCCGACAGCGTGTCAGTCCGTTTCTGCAGGTGGTGATCAAGCTCCCGCAAAGCAACGACAGACCGCGCGGACAGAAACGTAGCGGGAGGCGGTGGGAGCGGAATTGAATAGTCGGTCGAAGGTCTCGGCCGCACTGTGTGGCTGTGTTCGCGTCAGGTGAGCAGGTGAGAGAACAGCGTGAGCGTGAGCGTGAGTGTGAGTAAAGAATTTCTGACGATCACGACGGAAACTACCGGTTTAGAAGAGAAATTGAGGTTGTCATCAATAGTTGTGTTTCCTTTCAGTTAAATCGCGATGGCGCCGGCTTTAAGCAAATTATTGGTTAACAGAAGAAGTGCATTAAGTGCTGCGTCAGTAGCAATTTTATTTTGGGTTCTTCGCACCAGGCAGAAACAGAGGAAATTAAGGTAATTACCTTATAAATATCTATTGCAATTACGTGAAATGGTTTGTGTTGTTGGATTCACGAAAGGAAAGTCAAACATTTCCATATATTCAATTAATTTGAAAGTGCATGAGATCCATTGCCACTAAAATTGTTACATAAGTAACAATGAATTTATTTATGACTATTAAATAGACAATGCAATAACCTCCCAATTTATTTCTAGGAAAGCTCCGGAAGTTCAGTATGTTGTTGGAGAGGTGAGTTCAGCATTTGTATATCTTTTTTGCTTGTAGGTGGTAATTTTGCAATAAATTGTTCAGGATATGTAGAAGTTCATCATAGTAAAACAATACTGAATTTGCCTGGAATTATTAACTTTGCATTTAGTGTTATTTCCCAAAAAGATAATAATTGAAGAAATGGTCTATGTAGCAAAAAGTGTGCTTTAGATATTACAATTTAATAGGCTAAGTGATAATTTCATTTTTGATTGCTTGTTTCCTTACATGATTGTTCTTTGCAGAAATCTAACCAAAAAGTTAAAGCTCATGTGGATGCTGCATTTTTTCGACAAGTTAGGCAGCTTCTTAAAATCACAGTCCCAGGAATTTTTACTCCAGAAATGGGGTTCTTGATCCTTGTTGCTGCTTCCTTGGTTGCAAGAACCTTTTGTGATTTATGGATGATTCAAAATGGAACATACGTTGAAAGGTATGTAATTAAACTTGTGTTTGGTATTAAATGCTGTCTGATAAAGGGTAGGATTGAGGAGGCATGTTGAGTAGGAATTGTAATGAGTGTATTTTGGTCCAACTTGGGGTATAAGGAACAAAATTGTTGTTAAACTACAAAAAAGTAATGTAATTGATTTCAAACATCTGCAGTTGCATGTTAATCACATAAAATTAAAGATCAATTTGTATTGTAATGCCATTATTTATGCTATCATAGTTTTACTTTAATCACGACTTTAATTTCACACATTTTTTTATTTGATGATTAATTTTAAAATGTGAGGTTTAAAATAATTTTTGAACATCAAGTGAATTTGTTTTATTGTTTATATTCTTGCCTTCAAGAAGATTGGTAGTCTTCACTGATGCATTGCATTTCTTTTTTAAATAGCATTTTTTTGAAAATTGGAGTAAAATTACTAAATTCAAGACTTCATTTGGGAATATAAGAAGAGAGATATGGCTTTAAAAAAGATGACAAAACTTTGAACATATGCCCCATGTATTTGCTTATTATAAATTAAAAAAGGTACACTGCATTATCGCCTCCAAAAAAATAAATCATTTATTTCATTGTAGTAAATACTTCCAGTTCTTGTTAATAATGTAAGAAAATCCAAAAATTGTTGTTCATAGGTGTTGATCATTTTCAGTCCTTGCCGAAAAGAGCACTGGTTTTGTAAAATCATTTGGGACTGAAGATTCAACCCTTAATTAATGTTGAGATTCTAGTTTCACTCTTTTGACAATCTTTAATTCCATTCAACATTTAGCAAATATCTTGTTTCAAATTTGAGTTATTGTTATACTAAATGTTGCAACTATTTGGTAGAATTTTATTCTCGGGTTTAGCCATTGTTCTTTTTATTTTTGATAAGGTGAGATCAAATACCGGATCTTTTAAATATCTATAGAACTTGATGGCATTGGCTTCTTTCCAAACCTTTTTATTCCTGCTTATAAATCTTTAGTTCTTTCCCTTGGTATTGTTGCAAATATTAAAATAAATATATTTGCTTAAAGTGTTTGTTTTAGTCTTGTTTATGGTGCGGTTGCAAATGTTTTATCGTACTTCTTTTTAATATAGTGTTCAGGAGTTAGTAGAAAGTGTGCGGAAAGTTATGTTGAAATTTAATGGAAAACTTTTGGAAGAGAAGCTTTTAATACCAGTGTTTATTACTGAGCCAAAATATCTTTCATTTGTGCAGACTACTGTCAGCACCATCAACAGGCCATAAATAACTTGATTCTTCATCCTAAGGTTTTCCTCATGATAGAATTTCATGTTTTACTGGTGAAACATCGTTTGCAAACATAACTCATCTGCTTGTCATACAATGCCTAATTTGAATTCTGTACCTTCATTTAAAATTGTTTAGCTAGGGAAACTATTCAGAGATGACTAAGCAGGAAATTAATTTGCATGTTCATTTCTGTGTGGAGTTGTTCTGTGTTCTTCTTTTTTTTTTTTTCACTCTGATGCTTCATTTGCTACAACTCTGTACCCTACTGATCCCATGACATGATCATGCATCTTCATCTAAACAGTCTAATACTCTTTTATTGAATTAAGCAAATGCATTATAATTTGAAAAATAGTGAAGGGTTTTCTTCATGTAACTTTTTTAATTAGTTTTCCATGTATCCATATTCTAAAAGATTTACTTTGATATTATTATTATTATTGTTGAAAAATTTATCCAGTTTCTCACTTTGCCCAAAGCTTTGTATGATATACTACCAAAAATTGCCAGAACCTATTTCACAACCTGTCTTGACCATTATACCTATTATGCTTTTTGCTGTTTTCTTCTTTTCAATTAATAAATTGATCTACCTCTCTCCAGAGGTATTTGTGTATCTGTCTTTAAGTTGATGATGATAATATTTACATAACTATTACACTGTTTACAAGATTACTTGGTACAAAAAATAATAATGTAATAAAACTAATATACTGAAGCAATTCCAAGTAATATATTTTATAACAAATTTACCTACATTGATCAAACATCCAAATTACAAAAATGAATTTAAAAAACAAATAACTAATTGATTAATACCTATCTTTCTCATATTGACTTTATTCTCTCTTATAGTATTTTGAAATATGATAGTTTTAAAGTGAGCAGGAGAGGAGTTTATCGCAGTATGCATGCATGAAAAAAACCATTTCTGCTCTGCTCATGTTTTGCAAAAATGTATTCCAATGTTATCAATTTGCCAAGTAGTTCTACCTTCTAAGTTTCTAAATTCAATAGCATTTAATATAGAAATAGCCAATTTATGTAAAATCTCGAAAATACAAATAAGAACAAACAAAAATTGATTCTCTGATTAACTGGTAAAAAAATATAGAATCCATCATTAATTTTTACTTGTATGCTTATCGCATTTCAAAATATCTCATTCCACTGTTTTGTTGTGCCTACAACCTCAAAATTTTACTATAATTCAATAAACTTGCTCAGTAGTCAAAATGTGGAGCAATTTGGGATTTTTATAAAATTATTCTAGTATATGAAGTAAGACATTTACTTATTCTGTACAGATAACGTTTTGAAGCCAAATTGACTAATATTTAGATATAAGTAATTTTCATTTATGCATAAAGTAAATCAAATTCACTCTAAAAATGATCACTGTGAAACTTCGATAATCACATCCCTTTCCAGTGAGAGCTTAATAAAATTCCCACCTTTTTCCCACCAACAGAAATCATCTATTGGTCTAAATGATCGAATCACAGTTTCCCAAGGATGTTTCTCACTAAAACCTTGTTGATTTATTAATTAATGTTTTCAGTCGCGTACTTCAAATTTGGATTTTTGGCTCTTCAATGTCCATTATCATACATTAGACTATATTCGTGACATTAAAATTATCAACTCATTTTTGTATCCATCCATTGAAAAATATATTAAATTTATGTGCTATATTTTTTGTCACACAATTTATTTGATCAAATGAATCTTCACGATATAGTTTCAAATAAGATTTTTTAATTATATTTTTAATCACATCCTCGATTTTTTGGGTTTATTATGATTTTTTTCAATTTCAGCATTATTACATCCATCATACATAAAAACTTGCAAATACTCTTTTCATTTTTTAAATTCAACAATTCTTTTCTTGTTTTCCTTAGGTTCCCATTACTTTTTATCCACTTACCTTCCTACTCACAAGTTCACATGTTATTGATTAACCCATCTCTGTACAAGGTACTTTTGTAACGATAGGGCAAGCAGTGTCCACCAGACTGCTGTACAATTAATGTTTTTCGTTAATTAGATTGCTGGTGAGGTACATACCTTTTTATTATGATAAATAAATCAAGATATTGTCTGGTATCAATACTTTGATACCAGATCAATACTTAAAGTATTGATACCAGACAACATCTTTATCATAATGTTTTTCAATATTCTCTTCTTAATCTTTTTGCACACATACGGTTTTAATATGTAAGTAAACAAATTTTTCCTTTACTATTGCAAAAACGTACCAAAAGTGATGGAGTATAACATTTATTTTATAAGAACACAACGCACTTTGAGTGAGTTTAAACTTCTCTTCTCTATGAATTCCTGTGAGGTTTCTGGGAGTAAAATAAAATTCCTGTGAATTTTCTGATAAAGTTCAATGAGAGTTTGAATCCTTCTGATACTCACACCTGGAAGCAGCCTTTCCCACAGTTTTCCTTCCTGGTATATGACAAACAATTTAAAGGATAGTAGGCCCACCACAACCACACTATCATACTATACTTATTGTCTCATTTTGTTGGTACTGTATGTACCGTTTGAATGGGTATCTGCACCATAATGGAATTAGTATTTTGTTGTCAGTAAGGACTTTTCCAGGATGGTAATGCTTTTTCAAATTTCCATTGAATTTCTCTCACAAGTCCCTCAAAGAAGCCTATGTAACATTCCAATGTTTTGCAGACTGTGTGGTTTTATCATCAATTCATAGAAAAAAGTAAGTTCTTGAAATGTTCGAGTCCGATTGTTGCTGGATGTAAAAAATGGGCTGTAAAAAATATTCCACAGTACTGCTCGCATGTGCCCTCGCCATTCCTCCAACACCGGAGCTGAGCATCTCCTTCAGACCTCGAGGTAGTGACAAAATGGGAATCGCCAAACGTTCTTTTTACCAAAATAACATATTAGATCCACAACAATACAAGGCGTCCAGTTTTTGATAATCAACTGACGTAATAAACAAAAGAGTAATGTAATTTCTATTGTTATGTCAAATAGAAATTGCATACCATTGTCTCTTTACCGATTAAACACAGTGTCCTTCGAACACTACTTGTCCAATTTCATTTCTTGAAAATGAAATAAATATTTTCAATACTGAAATTGACCAAATTTAGTGAAACATTGTTCATAGATGCTCCAGTAGATAAGAAACTCACAAAAGCGCAAACACAGAAATTTTTTAATTTACTTTATACAACACTAAATGTATAACCCACAGTGTCCAACACACTGGTTACCAGGAATGGGTTAATTGATTATAAAACAAAATGACTTATTTTAAGATAAAAATTATCAATAATATTTAGGTGTGGAGTGTAAATACCAATCACTTATCATAATCACATTTGACTTTAATTTTAGGGTGAATAGTATATCAATTACATACTTGACATCTTTGATTTTTAATTTCCACTTCTGACAATAATTATTGAAACTCCGTTTGCTTCTCTTTCTCTTTATTTCTAATTTAGTTAAGCAGTTTTTTGTCGTAGCAATTTCCTTTTCTGGAAAAAAAGGATTGTCAGAGTTCATTATTACGGTTGAAAGATAGTCAGTTATGCCAAGACTAGTTTGGGCACAGCAAGTCACGGTGTTTCTTATAAGGGTGGATTACTGACCCTTGCTAAATAACCCCAATTTTAAGGAAGGAATTGTATTTTGGACTTCTTAGAGAGATAGCTTTTTTTGTGGTTACAAGGTCTCCCTTTCTCCATTCTCTCTTACAGTGGGGCCAGAGCTTATCAGTGAAGGATGGTGTGTCATAAGGAAGCCTTTCCAAGTTCTGATATACTTGTATGGATTGTGACTTGTAATTACGGCTTGCTGGCATTATTATTTTCGTCTTGTGTTTGTTATCTATGTGCATTAGTGATAGGCAGGATATGTTCCTTTAGATAAATATTGTACTATTTTAATATTTTGTTGGTTGTATTTTAAATAAATTTCATCACCTGGTCACAGGTGAAACATCCAACTATGACTAAATGGTGAAATGTATGATGTATCAATCAGGACCTCTTATTGTCTTAAGCTGTTAAGAGTGCGCTGTCTCAGAAGCTCAAGAGACTAGGTTTATATCTGGAGATCCAGGCTAGACTCCCAACTGGGGCAGTCAATTCTTTGTCAAAACATAATTTATAACTATCTTTTTAATGTTAGATAAAGTGAACTAATTAAATTAGGTTGAATATTTCATTATTGATGCAGAAACAGAACTGGTCTGTTTCAGACATTTGAAAAGGGTTTAAACTGCAAGTATTATGATTATGATTATTATTAATCTTTACTTAATTTTTTCTTTTTCTTTTCCAGTGCTATTATAAACATGAATAAAGAAGAGTTCAAAGCGAGGGTATTGAAGTTTCTGGGTGCAATGCCTTTGGTAAGAGGATTTCAAATGTATTAAATATATGTAGCTAATAAAGCAGTAGGTTGTGTTGTACTAATGAACTGTTTCTTGTTGCAGATCTCTGTGGTCAACAATGTATTAAAGGTGATTAGAGAGTTCAGGCAGGACCTGATTTTGCTGTATAATCAAATTATACAATAATTGTGATAATTGATATAGTAGTAAGATCTTCATTTTCTTTACAGTACAGCATTGGAGAACTGAAACTGCGACTGCGAACAAGACTCACACATCATCTTTTTGAACAGTATCTGAAGTGAGTTATCTTGATGTAATGTAATACAATGACTTTTGACTAGAAGACTGGTTATGGCATTCTTAACTGACCCTATATAATATTTTTAGATGAGATTGAAGCCCTGATTTGTTAACATAATACTTTGATTCTTCTGCAAATGTTGAAATGAATATAAAAATAATAATAATAATAATAATAATAATAATAATAATAGGAGTAATAATAATAATAATAATAATAATAATAATAATAATAATAATAATAATAATAGTAATAATAATAACAACATATAAATGGAAATATTTAAAATATTTCCATTTTTAATATATGTCAGATGTAACTTACATATCCAACAAGTTACAGAATATTTTATTTTCAGAGGTTTTACATACTACAAGATGAGCAACTTGGATAATCGAATAGCTAACCCAGATCAACTTCTTACTCAAGATGTTGACAAATTTTGTGAAACAATTACTGATCTGTATTCAAATATAAGCAAACCTCTTCTGGATATATTCATATATGTGTATCGCTTGACTATAAGTTTGGGACCTCAGGTAAGATTGATTTTATATTATAATACGATGGTAAAAATATGACTTTAAATTAGAACTTCTTCAATGTCTATTAGCTAGTCCTGCACATTCGTCGTCAATGCATCTGGTTTTGCTAGTTTTTAATTAAAAATTGGCAACAGTTCTCCTCTTTGTCCTCTTGATGTTTCAGCAGTCCACCATGAGTGCCTATCCGAAATGTTGATAACTATGCTTAGTGCTGAAATCAAATATTGGATACCTTTAAATTCAGTAAAATTCTAATTAGTAGTCTCCTTTCGTCAGGCATCAACACTAACAAATGTCTAAGGTTAGGTTAATTGGAAATTTATTTTCTTTCAGACACCAGCAATTCTGATTGCATATATGATTGTATCGGGATACATTCTTACCTACCTACGTAGACCAACTGGTCGTATGACTGTTGTGGAACAGAAGCTGGAAGGAGAGTTCCGTTACATTAACTCACGATTGATAACTAATTCAGAAGAAGTAGCATTTTATCAAGGGAATCGTCGTGAGAAATTGACGCTTCTAGCTTCATTTGGAAAACTGGTAAGATATTTCGCTTATGTACATTACATTAGTGTTAACACTCCCTTATTTAGCTTCACATTCACAGAATGCTGCTTTTAAGTGGGACATGAAATAAGATTGTTGAACTTGTTCTTCAAATTAATAAACAAAGTTGTGACAATTTCATAAAACTTAGTGTAATTGAATACATTTTGCATTTTCGCTACTTGTTTTATATTAGTTTTTCCTACATCTGGACAATTATTTATCCCTTTTCTCTTTCGTAATCTTCCTAATTATTGGAATAATTTTTTTGGTATTTCGTTAAATAGGTAAAACAGGTTTAATTTAATAATATGTGATATAAAACAAATTTTCAAAAACAGCATGTAAACATGTTTTTGCAAACATTGATTGATCTTTTCCATAACTGGAAGAGTGGTCCTGCTGAGTTCAGTAAAGAGTGAGTCAACTATAGCGGCAGTGATTATAAGTGCAACTGGATTTGACTACTCTTTAATATTGCATGATCTAGCAACATTTGAAGACTTTACCGTGAAAGAATTTACTGAAAACTTATCTAATAGTATATAAAATCTAAATTAATGAATTTTGTTGTTCTGAAAGGTAGTCAAATGTATGCATAGGTTTTTAGCAGAATAGTCATGTGTATAATATCTTGGTGTAGTGCACAATGTAACCTCATGAAATTCCGTTGTCATTTCTCCTGTCATTCATAACAATTAATTATTTCCAAAAGAATGTAATTTCAGAGCAATTAGCACAATTAGATTTGATTTGCACTTCCATTAAACTCATAATTAGGGACAGAATTTGATGACCTAAAACAGTGCAAAAAATGCTCTTAAAGGTTTTTTAAAGTGTTCTAAAAGTAAAGAAAACAACGTAAAAAATGTTAACAAATTCAGTTCGAATTACCAACTAAAGCTATTGGATGTGTCGCTGAAATAATCAAGGCTTCTTCTATTCCGTCAAGTGCACTCAGCTTGCTAACTTTTGGTTTGGACTGTTCTTTACCAGGAAATCTGTCTTTCGTCATCCCAAAATCAGCCCAACAATGGCACTGACAGGTGACAACCTTAATTACTTACAATGGCTGACATTACAATTTCTGAACCAAGAAATCAAGTAGGCTACTCAGAAATTCTGTGGAGAACATGTTGCATCTGATAAATATTATTTGAATAAATACCATTCAAATGATATTAAAATCAATGAAATCAGAAAAATATGCATTAAAAGTGACAGAAAAGGGTAAAAAATTACATATTAGTTGAAATTCCAAATTATGCAACAAAAAAAAATATATAAAATGGGTAGTTTCCTTTGGTGTAACATAAAATTAATTTCTATACTGATGAGTAAAGTGAAAAGCTTTGCAGTGTTCTAAAGCGAAAAGAAAGAAAAAAATGATATTTCATTAAAATCCACTTCCTACTTATAGCCTTGATTAAGCAGCCACCTCAATTGATGGTCAATTTTTGACAGTGTCATTGGTGACTGCTTATGTCAGGTTTTTACTGAATATTGCATAGTCCTTTGGACTCTCCATCAACCTTGCCTCCTGAAGGAACAATATGTTTTTGCGTGCATTTTAATATGTAATTGAAATAAACTTTGTCTTTTAAATTTGTATTTCAGACCGATCATTTGAGAAAATTCCTAGAATTCAGAGTCCTTATGGGAACAGTTGATAATGTTGTAGCAAAATGTAAGTATTGACAGCATTTTTATTTTCTAGACTTTTGGATAGAGTACATTCCTTTCTCATGCCTTACCTTTTAGCGTCTTAAGTTCTCTTACTTTTCTGCACTTCCTTTAGCAGTTCACAGCTAAATGTCTCGTTAGATTTCAGACTCGATCCCTGATAGAAGAAGGAAGGCTTGAGTTTTAATACGATGTGTAACTTACAAGATCAGAATAAAATTAAAAGGAGACAGCTGGGTCTGGAGGTAGATAGGATTGCCACAAACTGTGCACTCTAATATGATATGATAGCCATTTACTAATGACAAAAAAAAACACTGTTCACCTCATTCTTGTCATTTGCGATATTGCACAATTAATTAACTATAACCTTCTGACCACTCATTTGTTTTGTGATTTAATGTGGTCAATTTTATTTTCATAATTGTAATTTAATTATTTTTAATATATTAACTTCATTGAATTCAATTCTATAATTTTATATGGGGTCACCTAGTCCTATGAGCTTATTCATTAGCTGTAAATCATATTTTAATTGAACAGAAAATTCTATATTCTGAATATCTTAAACTTAAATATAAATGGTTCATTTAAAGAAAATATATATATATGGAAATTGTGGTACAACATGACCAACTAGCCTTCAATGTAATGGAACCTTTCTTTAAATTTGGGGTATGAAGCCGCAGGGGCATTTTCAAAATTTGTTCAAAAATGGCTCAAAATATTCTTATTACATTTTTTGGAAGAATACACTTATGAAGTCGGTGTAGGTTTAAATTTTTTGTCTGTTAACTCTAAATTTTCAAAAATTTCAAAAGTTTGGATTTTTTTTTTTTTTTTGTCTTCCTACAACTACAAACTAGAAGATGGAGATTTTTCCTTCAAGTAAAATTTGTTCTTTATATTAAATTCTTTCATTAATGACATGTACAGTTTTTGAAAATTTTAGCATTATTTTTAGTAACATTTTTGTTGATTTTTTCAAAAATGGCTCCAAATGTTTTCTTTAAACTTTTGGTACGGATAGTGCTAAATGTACTCTATAAGATGACATAAATGCCATATTGCTCTATTCTTTTGTTTTTCACCAAAATTAAATTTTTAAGAAAGAATTAAGAAAATAATGCTTAATTGCTTGTTTGTTGGTTGGTTTGCTTTTTTGTTTGTTTGTTGGTTGGTTTGCTAATTGCTTGTTTTTAGTTTGTTTGCTTTGATCCAAATACACATCCACAGTACACATTCCCAGAGTATTTAATAGAAAACTTGTTGAAGTTTGATTGAATACTTTCTTTCAATTGGTTACTCAGAACAGATGTGTAGTAGTTAATTTAATACTTAAACAATCATGTAAAAATTTCCCTATACAAAATAGTTACATTTATAAAATTATTATGTTCATTAGTAGGGAACGGTTTTTCATATAAATACTATTTTTTACGTTTATCTCTATGTAATAATCTTTTTTAGAGTTTGCAAGGTATTCGGAAGGTATTATACCTACTTTTATTTTATTTATTTATTTATTTTTATATATTGCAACCCCAGTGGAAGACTGCCATAAGTCTGAAAAAATGAATTTTCAGTTATTTGGTGGCTAAAGTGCCTGTTGATGAAGTCTGTGTCATGGATAAATGCCACACTTCAACTCGTAAAGATTGTGATTCTTCTGCAAGTAATTCACTTCCTCTCAAGTCATTCTGAACTATTCAACTACAGTCACCTCTTGATTTTGGAGGTTTTCTTCTAATACACATCACCTGCATACAATCATACTAACAGTTAAGGCGACTGGATATCCATATAAACTAAAGCTCACGACAACAGATGATTTTTTTGCCTCGACACTTATACTTAGTCAAATGTGTAGAAACTTGATACTTGAATTTGGAAAAGCCTGATAAGAAACCCCCAGGCATAACTATTAGAGAAAAATAATTTCAAAAAATTCAAATGATTGTGAAACATTGCAACATGTCACTGGTCTTATAAGGGGAGTCTAAATCAAAATTGTTAAATTGAAATTTTGTATTAATTTTATTGCTATTATTAAGTTAGTTTTATTGAAAGTTAAATAAAGATTTACTAATAAAACCACTAAAATAATGGAAATAGTGAAAATTTGTGTTCATCATATCTGCAATAACTCTTTACCAATTCAAGAAATACTGAGTAGAAAATTGCCAAAACTCAGAACAATTATTTTTAAATAAAAAAAAAACCATACGCAGTCAACCCAAGGGATTTGTAAAGTATGGTATATCATTAAAGAATGTTAAAAGATTAATATACATTATTTTCACTTTCTTAAGATAATGTTTATTCTTTTTTATATTGTCTTTACATGCTTCTCCTGAAAAACTGCTCATTTTGACTTGTGGCAGTCTTCCACTGGGGGTGCGATATTTAGATATAATTACACATTTTACATATTATTACATATTCTAATGTTTTATAATGATTTAATTCATTTACTCATCAAAACGGAATGTCTCATATAAGAGATGCATATGTCATGATCCAAGAATCTTGTTATGCAAAGTAATATGTTTATATATTCTATGAACCTTCATTGTGAATTTTCAAATTCGCCCCTGCTTTTGGAAAATCACATATTCAGAGTCGAAGGTATCGGTTGTTTCCTAATGTAGTCTCAACAACATGTTGGCATGTTTCAGAGTCCATGAGAAAGTCAATCAAAATCTGACAAACATTCTTTCAGACCATAGTCTTATTGCACTTCCTACATCCCGCCAAAACATACTCTCTCCTCTATCAGGGATGCAGTATTCAAAACCTTTTCATGAAAGTTGTTGGCTAGGTGTATTGAGAATACTTCTTTGATATGTGCTACATACGTGGTAATTTTTATCAATTGTTGGAAAATTTGAAAATGCTTGTATCAACAAATTTTAAACACCAACATGCACTTTTATTTTACAAATTTTCAATTTTTCCATATGTTTTTCATCATTATTGTGGGTTAAGCCCACTCTTGGCTTCAAGAGTGTCCTTCCATTGACTTATTTGTCTGCGCGGCCTGGAAGATTTTTAGCATGCAATCTTCCGGCATTCTCATTAAATTATCATGCCAACTCTTTCTTAGTTTGTCAGTTTTTTTCAGTTAGGTAAAAGGTCTTTAATTCATCTCTAATGTCCAAGTTTCTTTTATGATCTAGTATTGAATAGCTTGCTAAAGGTCCCAAAAATTTCATTTTCCATGCCTTATAGTTTTCTCTTATCTTTTCTATTGAGGGCCCCAATTTTCACATCCATAGGTTGTCATTGGCATTGTCATTGTTTTATAAAGCATCAGTTGGGGCCCGTATATATTTTTGAAAATATATATTTATGTACAAAGTTATGTATTGCTGTAGAAAATCAAACCATTTTTGGCTCAAATTTCAAATTTACAGTAGCACCTTAAACGCCAGTTTTTAACAAAACGCGACAATTTTTTAAAGAATGTGCAATTTAAAGAAAGTTACTGTTCTTTATATCATAAAATAATATTTCCATCAATTGATAGAAAACAAAAAATTAAGAAAATCAATAAACGAATGAACCATTCCAGGCAAAAATGACAGCTGTAGAGTTGTAGCAACTCGTTTACTAGTAAGAACCAGAAAGGAAACAGAAAACTAATACAGGAAAGTCTGTGTCATTGTGTATCGCCACCAGTTTTTCTTTTCTATTACAATAAATCTATCTTGCGCTTCATTCGTATTAGGGATTTATGTATTGTTATTATGTATTTATGTACAGTGCTCACAATCAACAAAATTACCACAGCATCTTCACTTATGCAGATGGGCTATAAGTCACTTGTCAGTAATACATGTTCACAAACATAATAACTTTATTTATTCCTTAACCATGAATTTGTTGTTACAATTATTACAAGTGGTTATATTACCTAAAGCCAGGTTTCAAGTGGACATCTTTTAAGCACATAAAGCAACTCTGATGGTGTTGGATGATAATGTATCTAATTCTGAAGTTATACATTCCTGTAAATATTTTTCGTTTGTAAGGGGGTGAAGGGACTTTTTCTTTTAGAATTCCTCATAATGAAAATGTCCATTGGAGTGAGATCTGATGAACCTGCAGGTTATTCAGTGTGACCTAGAAATGTCAACATGGAAGCTTGTTCTTGAAAAACCATACTTGCTGGATGCCTTTTGCAAGGATTTTGTTTGAGATTGAATGACAAGTTGCGCTACCCTCAAAAGATTTTCTTCTGTGATAACTGATCTGTCAATTTTTATATTTCTGACTGTGTTATTTTATTTTGCACTGTAATGTATGACCATTCTTTAATTTTAAACAGTAATTTTCATTTTAGTAATCTATTTCCATCATAAGTAAATGTGATGTGAATATTTAATTGAAATGAAAATGACTGTTGAAAAATGAAAGAAGGAACATGAGTTATTGTAAAAAATGATCTTGATCTACCTGATCACAGATCTGCTACAGACCTAGCGTTTTCAAACCCTTTATTAGAGTTATGGATTGCTTGCCATGAGAGTGGTATATTTATTTGAAAAATGTTACACAAATAACAATCACATCTTCATAATTCTGGTCATGGAACCACCCCTTTTTGAAGTAAAAATATACATTAATTCACTGTTAACTTTCTATTAATGGTAAACATTGCTAATTGACTGACTAAATCCGTTGCTGAAAAATAAGCTTAAAACATTCTGTATTCTTTTCTTGTTTCTTACTATTCTAATCAATTTACTTCTGAATTACTTAGTTCACGTGCACATGTCCCTACATTTTTTATGAGTGTATGCTTTTATTTGTAATATGAGGATGATAATTAAAACTTATTGTATAATTGGCATTAATATAGTTATAAACTGAAATTCAAGCATTATCAATTACTGCAGTATATGTTGTGGTAAAAATATTTTTTTTGTTAGTATATCATATTTGTGAATTTTTTTGAAGAGTCAAGATATAAATCATTGTATATTTTAATTAAAACCAAATGTGTGTCATTTTTGTAGATATAGCAACAGTTGTTGGCTTCTTTGCTGTGAGCATGCCCTTCTTGGAGGCTGACCATAAGGAACTAGGGAGTGTTGGTGCTCATGAGCGATTCCGAGTAAGTGTCTAACACTCCTTTTTTAAGTCAGGGATTGTAGTGCAGATCCATTACATTTTAACTGGTGAATTGTTGAAACTGGTGGTCGAGACAATGTGATGTGTCTTCACACTTCTGCTATTAAGATCCGTTTCAGATTTCTGTTAAACTTACTATTATTAGACTGTTTGTTTTGCTGGAATTTAAATATTTAAATGTGCTTGAATGAATCATGACTGCTCAGCCTGGAAAGCATTTCATTGAATGTGACATTGAAACTTCAAAATCTTTTTAAAGGTTAGGATTTTTATTAAATTACAGCCTTTGGAAGAAACTATCCTTGAGTGCTTTTTAGAAAGATCGTTTCTTTTAAGAAGGAAAAGAACAAGGTTGTCAGAATAAATTTCTTCTGTTTAAAAATTACTTTTTGGGTTCCTTTCGTAGCACATACATTATCAAAAAGCATTGAAAGAGATTTTGTAAATTATCCTGTGACAGTGCAATTATACCTTGGCCAACACTTCCATATACTTTAGTGAACAAGTTTGGATAACATCCTGTTTCTTACAATAAACATTATTCCAACAATTATTTCAATTTGTTAATGCTGTAGTAAGCATATGAACATTAATTTTAGAGTTATCCTGATGGAAGAAAACATTACTTTGAAGTGTTGTAAATTTAACTTCCTTCATTATTTCTTATTCCAGTGATACATTGTTGTTCCTTCTGCCTTCTGAATTATTTCTATATAGCTTTGATCAAAGCTACAGTACAAATTACTCTCTGAAAAATTTGCAGGAATTTTTACCCTCTAGTTCCTATTATTTTTTTAATTTTTTTTATTCCTAGTTATACTACACGTATGGTCGAATGCTGGTTAAATTAGCTGAAGCTATTGGACGTTTAGTGCTTGCCAGTCGAGAGATGACTCGACTTGCAGGATTCACTACCCGAGTCACTGACATAATAAAAGTTCTGAGCGACCTAAACCAAGGTCGTTATGTTCGCACAATGCTCACTGATAAGAAAGCAGAGGGTGCTGTTGAAAATGGTGTCATAAGTAAGTTAAATCAAATATCAAATCAACTAATCAGTTATTTATCATAATTATGTTTATTGAAATAAGGCCAACTTTCATTTTAAATGAATTTTAAGTTTCATTTGAATTTTTGTATTCCTGTAGAGTATTCTGCTGTTGTAAAAAGAAAAATCTTAATTTCTTCCAGAAGCTAAGCCTGTTCCAAAGATGCCTCTAATTCCTGGTGCTGGTAGAATCATTTTCCAAGACAACGTTATTAAATTTGACAAAGTTCCCTTGGTAACTCCAAATGGTGATATTTTGGTTGATGAATTATCGTTTGAAGTGCGGTCTGGCATGAATGTGTTAGTTTGTGGTCCCAATGGTTGTGGTAAGAGTTCTCTCTTCAGAATTCTCGGTGAGGTAAGAATGTCAACAAAGGTTTGGTGCATCTTATCAGTGGATATAAAACACAAAATAATCCCATCATTTATTCTGTTCAGCTTTGGCCTCTGTTTGGAGGTACTCTCACAAAGCCACCCAGAGGCAAACTGTTCTACATACCACAGAGGCCTTACATGACTTTGGGCACTCTGCGTGACCAGGTCACTTATCCTCACACTTTGCAAGAAATGCGTCAAAATGGGAAGACTGATGCTGATCTTGAAGAGCACTTGGAACGGGTGAAGCTGTCTTACCTCCTTTCCCGTGAAGGTGGCTGGGATGCAATTGAGGATTGGTTGGATGTTCTCTCCGGGGGTGAAAAGCAGAGAATTGCCGTAAGTAAAAATCCATCTTACTGTTTGTTGTTAAAAGTTTTATATTAGTTTAAAGTTCTCTTCGTTTCATAGATCCTTATATTTTGGAAGTGACACTATGAAGTTTAGACAAATTTCAAATTTAGATTAATTAGTCTTTTAATTATTATTAAAGTATTATAGTGAAGTTCATGGATTCAAACCCGATCAAAGCTATGGATTTTTAAGGACGAAAAATTCCTTCATAGGCCTTCAAGGGGAAGTAAAGCTGGCTGCCCCATGTAGATTTACAGCATGTAAAAGATTCTCAAACCTAAAAAAAGCTTGTAAGCAAAACTCAAAATCACCTGTTTTGTCGCTCAAGTGATTCTTTCTTTCTCTGTTAGGGGGTGCAAGAAGCATAACAAAATTTGCATGGTCAAACATAAGAACAAGCCTGATGTTATTGGAGAGTTTCAAAACTTCACACATGGAGAACATTCACTGCTATAAATCTGAACTTTAAAACTATATATAAAAATATTTTTATTCACCATACTTTGTTCTCTAATGTTGTATTAAGTGAACTGTGTAATTTCTCTAGGTACATATTTATTGGCCATATATTCAGTGGAAGAGATACTTTTCGACGCATCTTAACTACTAAGACTAACCAATAAGTTGCAAGCCCTCGTCAACCTCCTCCACATTTTGCCTCCATACTTTTACTTCCTCCTAATAATCTTTACTTCTGAGATATTATGAAAAATTTTGTGAACACCCAATTTGTCTGCAAGTTGCACAAGTTGCCACTGTTTCAGAGTTCCTATGAATGTGGTTTGAACCATAGAAATATGTGCACCATTTGAGAATGCTTCCTATATTAAGCTATTAAATTTAAATTTTCTTGCTTTAATTTTCATTGTGATAATGGATAAAATAATGGATAGCATTACACTTTTTATTATTATTAT